AGCCGTGCCTGTCTTCCCGTCTATAAGACGGGAGTAAAAGTCACACCTGCTGTCCTTGGTTGGTGGTGGCATCCGATGGGTTAATATAATGTGGCAGAAGCCATGCCTGGCATCCGGGAAGGGCTAAGTACATATTTGCCTTCGGAATTATTCTGTTTGTGGTTTCTAATTTGGAGACGCAGAGGAATTGGGCTCAGCAGGTTTTGCGGAAATGCCTGGGCACGGCATCTGTCACCTCTGTCGACCTGGGGTCTGTGCCCTTCCTCTAGAAGAACCTTCTTGCACACAGGTCAGCACATCTGTCATCCCAGCAGCTCGGGAGGCTGAGGCAGGAGGATCTCGAGTTGGAGGCCAGCCTCAGCCACTTAGCAAGGCCCTGAGCAAGTCAGCGAGACCCTGTCTCTAAATAAAACACAAAATAGGGCTGAGGATGGGGTTCAGGGGTCAAATGCCCCTTTCCTACCCGGCTTCCCCTGCCCACTAGTGCCAGTTCTGCAATTTTCTTTTAGGGATCATCCATCTCCTTCGGTCAACGTGATCTGGCGGCGCACCCAAGAACCCCTTTCCGTGCCATCACGGTGTCTGGCTCAGGGTGCACCATACAGAGGACATGCCAGGCCTACCTACCCCGGTACCCCTAGAACAGAGGCACCCTCTGATGGAACGACATTAGCGCAAGCTGCTCTTGACCGTCTTTGACACCACATGGCGGGGAGGGGGGACATATCTGAGCTAAGGCCAGCAGAGAGCAGAGTCAAGAAGCCCCGCTGACATCCTTTCACCTCCTGGATCCAGCCATACCTGAAGCTTGATTTTTATGCCAGAGAGAGTGAATTCCCCCTCCCACCCCCTTTTTTTTTTTTTTTTTTTGGCTCCAACCTGTGGGCGTTGGGGTTTTCTGTCACCAATGGGAATGAACTCACCAGGATGTAGAAGGTGATAAAAATGGGGCTGGAGGTGACGCGGATCTTGGCCCGAGCAAATGGAAGTTTCCAGAGCAGGAAGATGAAGAAGAGCACGTTGGGAATGAGCAGCAGGAGGTCCCAGTACCGGACCCTGACAGAGGGGTGCAGAGCAGGTGGCTGACGCGCTGGGGCATCCCTCCTCCCCCCCAGACCCCTCCCCACACATCCCCGGGGATGGCGCAGGCGCACTTGGAGGTGC